ACACCATGAAAAGACCATATCTATGGATCATAGGAATAGAGGAAGGAGAAGAATTCCTGGTTAATGGTGTTGACCAGGTCTTAAACAGGTTTGTAGAAGAGGATTTCCCAAAATTAAGGAAAGAGATCCCCATACAAATACAGGAAGCAGATAGAACACCAAATAGACAGGATCAGAAAAGAAACTCCCCATGATATATCATAGTAAAAACACTAAATGTACAGAACAAAGAGAGAATATTGAAAGCAGCAAAAGAAAAACAAGTCACATACAAAGGAAAGCCCATCAGAATTACAGCTGACTTATCAAACAAACTATGAAAGACAGAAGAGTCTGGACCAAGGTATTTCCAGTTCTACATGACAATAGATGTCAGCCCAGAATACTTTACCCAGGAAAAATGTCTATTATAGTTGGGGGGAAAGAAAAATCTTCCATGACATGAACAGCCTGAAAGAATACATGTAAACAAAACCAGCCCTTCAAAGAATACTTGAAGCAACACAGAGCAGAGAAAGAAACAACTATAACCCAAAGAGAACATAAACAGCAATCAAAATGATGGCAACCAATGCACATCTTTCAATAACAACCATAAATATCAATGGACTGAACTCCCCAATCAAGAGATACAGGCTAAGTGAATGGATTAAGAAACAAAATCCATCTCTTTGCTATCTGCAAGAAACCCATCTCACCTTCAAGGACAGGCACTACCTTAAGGTAAAAGGATGAAAAGAATATTCCAAGCAAGTGGCACTAAGAAACAAGCAGAGGTTGCAATTCTAATATCTGACAAAATAGACTTTAAAGTAAAACTAATCAGAAGAGATAAGAGGGCCACATCATTCTGATCAAAGGAACAGTTAACCAAGAAGATATTACAATCCTTAACATATATGCACAAAACTCTGGTGCACCCAAATTCATAAAAACAAAACTACAAGACTTTAAGACACAGATTAACCCCAATTCAGTAACAGTAGGGGACTTTAATACCCCATGGTCTCCATTAGACAGGTCAACTGGACAAAGAATAAACAGAGAGATGTCTGAATTAAATGATACCCTACATCAAATGGACCTAACAGACATCTTTCGAATATTCTACCCAAGCAGCAAACAATGCACTTTCTACTCAGTACCCCATGGAACTTTTTCAAAAATTGATCACATACTGGGCCACAAAACAAACCTCAACATATACAAAAAAATTGAAATAATCCCATGCATTCTATCAGACCACAATGCAATAAAGCTCAAAATCAACACTGGATAAAGTCCTAGTCACTACATGAACCCATGGCGATTGAACAACACACTCCTAAACAATGAGTGGGTCAAAGGAGAAATTAAGAAAGAAATAAAAGAATTCCTGGAATTCAACGAAAAGGACAATAAACACAACACAACCTCTGGAATGCTTTAGGAGCAGTCCTAAGAGGGAAGTTTATAGCTCTAAGTGCTTACATTAAAAAATTAGAAAGAGCCCAAATAAATGATAACACTACCACTCAAGACCCTGGAAAGGCAAGAACAAATGAAACCCAAACCCAGCAGAAGAGAAGAAATAACAAAAATCAGAACAGAAATAGAAACAAAGAAAACAATACAAAGAACCAAGGACTCTAAGAAGGGTTATACTGAGTTCAATACTGTATAACTGTATTAATTCAACTGTGAACCTAAAAATTTCCAGTCACTATTGAAAGAGATGTATCCTTGCTCTGGAGTATGTTACTGAATATGTTAAATCTGTAGTGAAGTGCTTCTTCTAATCACGTAGTTATTAAAAATTAAAAAATATGACTACAAAATTTGAAAATCTAAAAGAAATGGATGGATATCTAAAATCA